ATATCCATTGATGCTAATGCATAGTTTTGAAGGTATATATGCACTTTAAAATATTATAGGAAAAAATTGGGTATCAACACGCCCAAGAGAGCTTTTCAGAAAGAATCGGTTCACTCCTATTTGTGAATAGTATTCAAGCTTGTTTCAAAAGCTAATCAGGCTAAATCTATTACAGCTAGTGACCCCAAACTGTCCGAACTGCGAGTCTCCCTCGCACCGAGCTGATGCTATATGTGAATACCACTCTGGAGCAGTGGGACACAGTACGGAGGATTGTTGGACCCTCAAAAGGGCAATTGAAGACTTGATTGAAGCTAAAAGAAACGTTCTTCAGGATGAAGAGGACCCTAATATGATGAACAATCCTCTAACCATTCACACCAACGGGCCAATTGTCGGAATGATTTATGAAGATGAAGAATTTGATCCAGCACTGAAGGCCAATGTAGCCATTTCCGAGACAGAAGAAAAGCCAAAAAACGGTCGCCAAGCCTGAAAGTTCCCCATAGACGGGAGTCTCGATAGCCAGTCTTGCTATCCTTTCTGCATTTGGATTATTTCAAGGGTAATACGAATGTTTTACTTTATTGTCTTACTTTCCGATGTAAATCTTTCTATCATTAAACTTTAATAAAAAATAAAAAAAATCAAAAACAAATCAAATCAAATTAATATTTCATTGTCCATGAATGTCTCTTTTCTTAATATTGTCATTTTCTTATTTTCTTTTCAGTTCTTTTAAGTGCATATTTCAATAACATGACATGCTTGCGGGCTTCATGCCCAGACCCTAAAATACTGTCAGGCTTCGAAATAATGAATCAAGAATCAGAATGCAATGAAGATAAGTTTAAGGAAATAAAACAAAGACTCGGAATAACTAAAGGAAAATCGGTTCCAGATTGGAAAGGTCTATATATTGCAACAAGAGTACTGCCAAAAGAGTGTGTTGTACTTGGAACACATCGAAGGAAATGTCCCTAAAAGAACTGTCAATGTAAATGCAGTCAAAATGTACTATATTGGATCCTCTATATAGCATTAATATTCTCCGTTTGGGATGAAGAAGGCTTTCTTTCTCACTATCCAAATATTCAACCCTTTGCAAACCCTTTGAGCCGGCTCCCATTCTTTGATTATCCTATTTGGAACCTGGAAGTTAATATTGAAAAAAATAAAATGAATGAAAATTGAAAAAAATAAAAAGAGAAGAAAAAGAAAAATACAAAAAAAGAAGGAAGAAACGACCAAAAGAAAATGAAATGAAAAATGAAAAAAAAAAGAGAGAAGAAAAGAAAATAGAAGAAAAAGAAAAACAAAAGAAAAAAAAGTTCCTTGAACTACATTCGACTTGATTCCGAAAGGATACGTAGGCAGTCTCTCTCTGGGGTTCAGATGATTCGGTGATGGTTAGCCTGAAAGGTTTCAAAGTTATAATTCAATCCAAATTCTTTTATCCCAAAATCCTATTCAAGTCCTTCTGATCAATTGGCAAAGAGGTTCAAATGGAAGGGATACAGTTGCTTGGATCTGATGCAATCAAAATGAGAGAGTTTTATTGGTAAAAATCCTCACGGGCATCATAAGGCAATAGTAAGCAGAGAAATTGAAAATGAGAGTCTTGTTAGTGAAAACTCGAAAAGAGAACTATAAGGTGATGGTGAGAAGAGAAATAAAAGAGGTCAGCTGGTGAAAACCCACAAAGGGCGCATTAATCGAAAAGAGGATCCTCACTTCCATCGACATCGACATAGTCCTAGGCAAAGTTTCTCGATTTTGAGGTAAAAGTTGTGATGAAGTTCTGAGAGTTGGACGGTTTACACGGATCAGGCATCCAGTCCAAGAGGCATGTCATGTTCATTGAAGTCTGTGTGCGCTCCAGGTAAGTCCTTCTTTCCTTTCCCCGAAAGGGATACCTCTCGTCTAAATTTATTTGTCCATTTCATTATTTGTTTTTCTTTGAATCTTTTTCAGTCTAATTCTGTTTTAAAACTAAGACAAAGAAGGGATGACAAGACTTATTTACAGGATTTTCACTTGATACGAGCTAATATGCAAGAAGGCATCCAGCCTCGACAGGGGCATCAAGTCGACCTCGACTGGCCATGGTGGCTGATGTTTTGAAATTGAAAACCCTCGAAAGAAGGAAATCAAATTGAAATGCCTACAGGGGTAAAAATGAAGTTGCAAAGGTTGAGTCTCACGTAGCTAACTGTCTTGGCAAGGTTTGAAAAACCAAAGATTCCCCAATGTCTTGAAGATTAAAATTTGAAAGAAGAAAAAACAAGTCAAAAGTGAAAGGCCTACAAAGGCAAAATAAAATCGAAAAAGGTTGAGTCCCATGTGACCAACCGTTATGGCAAAGTCTAGAAAAGCTAGAGGTTCTCCAGGGTCAGAATGCAATCGGTATTCAAAAAACAACCAGGTTCAATTGAAAGTATCATCAAAAGAGCCAAGCTATCAAGTGACTGAAACACTCAAAGCCGCAAAACCAACCATCATTTCAAACTGATGAATTGTTCTTTGTTTGAACCACAGGAAACAAGTGTAATCTAAAGCAACCTTGAAAAAAGCAGGTGCAACTAAAAGAAACCGCACGGAGACTAAAATAGCTTTGCCGCAACAATGACTCCAAAAGAGAGGTTTTCTTCAAATTCTTTCCTGAATTTTACTCATTCTCTTAATATAAAAAAAATATCAAAATCATGGTAGTGTAGGGTCTCCAATCCCTAGCTGCATTTTCCAACATAGGGTCTCCAAACCCTAGTTGATTTTATTTTAGACATAGGGTCTTTACTCCCTATTCTCTTTTCTAACATAGGGTCTACAATCCCTAGTTGATTTTATTTTAGACATAGGGTCTTTACTCCCTATTCTCTTTTCTAACATAGGGTCTACAATCCCTAGTTGATTTTATTTTAGACATAAGGTATCCACTCCCTAGTCTCTTTTCCAACATAGGGTCTCCAATCCCTAGTTGATTTTACTTTTAGACATAGGGTCTCCACTCCCTAGTCTCTTTTCCAACATAGGGTCTCTAATCCCTAGTTGATTTTATTTTAGACATAAGGTCTCCACTCCCTAGACTCTTTTCCTATATAGGGTCTCCACTCCCTAGTTGATTTTGTTTTAGACATATGGTCTCCACTCCCTAGTCTCTTTTCCAACATAGGGTCTCTAATCCCTAGTTGATTTTATTTTAGACATAAGGTCTCCACTCCCTAGACTCTTTTCCTATATAGGGTCTCCACTCCCTAGTTGATTTTGTTTTAGACATATGGTCTCCACTCCCTAGTCTCTTTTCTAGCATATGGTGTCCACTCCCTAGTTGATTTTGTTTTAGACATAGAGTCTCCACTCCCTAGTCTATTTTCCAACATAGGGTCTCCAATCCCTAGTTGATTTTGTTTTAGACATAGGTTTTCCACTCCCTAGTCGCTTTTCCAACATAGGGTCTCCACTCTCTAGTTGACTTTGTTTTAGACATAGGGTCTCCACTCAATAGTCTCTTTTCCAACATAGGGCCTCCAATCCCTTGTTGATTTTATTTTAGACATAGGTTCTTCACTCCCTAGTCGCTTTTTTAATATAGGACCTCTACTCTGTAGTTGCTTCTATTTTAGACATAGGGTCTACACTCCGTAGTCTCTATTTTCTCAGGATACACCAATCCCGCCTTTTATTGCTTTCAATAAGAAAATAGTATAGAGTTTTGTTACAAATAACTCACGAAGTTCTCCTAGTGAAAATTGGAGCAAAAAAATTTCATTCGTTTGTTTGGTGTCAGAGCAGATTTTTACCTCGAGGCACAGGGTTTGATATGACCAAAAAAAGAATTCTTGATCCAAGAAATGAAAAGAAGTGAATCCAAAGTGCAAAAGCAGAGAAAAGATGTGGACTGATCAAGATATGACTGAAGCCACAAGCTCTGCATGTCCCGTCTTGATTCAAAAACTGAAGAAGAATGAACTAGCACCTACAGCTAGGAAGTGTCAAGATTCGGATCAAAGTCTGCGTGAAGAACCAACCAAGAATTAAGATCAAGCTTCAAAAGACTAATAGATATGAATCTTGTAACCCATGGCTGATAGACTTAGTTAGTTTCTTTTTTATTTTGATTTTGGTGTAATAAGGAGCTCAGCAAGCAGTAACATCAGCAACAACAGTGAAATCACAGCTTCTCAGTAGTCCCAGCTACCAGAACTTCTAGAACTACACTGATCTGATTCCTTTATAGCCAAGGATAGGCAACTTCCGAAGTAAGGTTCGATCAAACCTTTTCCAAAATGCTTCCCAAGGAGTATCAAACGGGAAAGAATTATTCATAATTGCTCACTTTATCTTTGCCCGAAAATTCTTTATGTTTTCGAGCAAATAGGGGCAGTTGTGAACACCTAATTTTTGTCCTACATAGGAATTTACTCCTAAAAAATAATTTTAACTTTTTTTATTAATTTTAAGAGTTTTTCTTTATTTGGTTTTGCATTTATTCACATTGTTTATGCATGTTAGGAATATCGTAAATCATAGCCTTTTATAAAAAGTATAAAAAATGTTCAAATCTTAACTGCATAGCCTTTTAGATTTTAAATTGCATTTTAGAATTTAATTACATTGTTAAATACATCATTTAAATAACTAAAAATCAAAAAATACATTCTTAGGTTAGTTAATTAATTAGGTCATTAGTCAATCATTAGGTAAAATATATAAAATAATTTAGCCACAAATTGGATTTAATTAAAATTTAAGTCCAAAGTGGCTAATTTTGCAAAAGCCTAGTAAAGAAGGAAAAGAGTGGCTCTTTAGAGGTCAAATTCGAACTTGGGCCAGCTTTTGGGCCCAGCTCTTACCCAATTTCCCTCCATCTGCCCCAAACCCGTCCAGCCCAAATACCGATCTGACTCTACCCATATCACTACCCAAACGACGTAGTTTGATACCAAAACTACGTCGTTTGCCCCCTTCCCTCTCATCTCTAACAATATGACCTAATCTCTTCCTTCTACACCAAAATAGGACCCCCTTCCTAATAACTTAGTGGTGCACCTCTCTCCATCTTCAACAGTGAATCGATACCCTTCCCCCATAGAAAAAACCCAGTCGTCCCCCCTAGCTCTATCATCACACAACAGTCTGTCTCTCTTTCTTAATTAGCCTAAGAGAACATCCTTAGTAACTCCATAATTGACTCTCACCTCCCTCATCATTCACACACTCATCCAATATCATTTGAAAATCGATGAGCATAATCAGAGAATACCAAAATTATGAAATTTTGAATAAATACAACTAAAGAAAAAAAAGAGTTGTAGTTGTTTGGTCGATTCCAAAGGATCCTTCTCTGTCATTTCTAGGTTCTTAAGTTGGATCTTACCTGATGGCGAAAGTTATTTCTGCTGTTGTAGCATAGCCGAGTCCGTTTTCAGATTGTCTGGCCTTTGTTTGGTTTAAATTTCTTCTCTGGTGCTGTTTTCAAGGTAATCCTCTACTGCCTCACATGGTTTCTTCTAATATACTGAAAGTTGATTTTCTCCGGATCTATTCTAGTGTGAGATTATCACCTTCCGTTGATTTACTTGTATTTACTATTTGGATTTATGCATTTCGATGAGTTCTTAGCATGAAATAGTTGTCATCTGTTCAATGTATGAAATCATGGTTGATCTATGTTGCATATGTTATTATTGCTTGGATTCAGTAATTTTGAATTCAGTTTTAACACAAAAATAAAGTGTGTATGAACTCGACGAAAATATATTTATAGATTGGGTATGGTGTTATTGAAGTATAAGCAGTCTGTTTGTTTTAATTTCGGCATCTATTTAGCATTCAATACTTGAAAAGGAAAAGGGTAATTGAACAGGGATAAAATTAGAACCTCATTGACGGATATGAAGAAAAGGAGTGAAAAGAACATGAACTAAGATTTAGCCTTTAGTTGAAATGGATAGTTGCGTTGTGTTTTTTTATCGTGTTTGCCTGATTTAAATGTTTCTCAAATATGTAGACTTTACTGTAGTATGAATCAGTATATGAGAACGAGGGCATGAAATTGCTTGAATTAAATGTTCCCACTCTATGATCGTTCATAATGCTCGGTTCTTTATTTACCACAATTAATTTCCATAACTTGTGCCTTTGTAAATAATCTCAAACATAGAAACAAACAAGTTATGAACATTCATAGTTGCTTTTAGCCGCGATTAATAATAAATCATCGTGGTTATAGGTACGGTTCCCGTGGCATAGTTATGATACATAATCCCCAATTTGAGTGTGCATTTCACGTGACTCGACCATAACTTCAAATAAAAATAAAAATCAACTTGTTGTAGATCACAGGTGCATTTCACGTGACGCGATTTGCAATATGTACAAAAACAAACGAGTGAACGACATCGCGACTTGTTTAAATAAATTCCATAATTGTTTAAACTAATTGAAAGTGGTGTAGAAGCATTAACATACAAAAGGTTCTAAAATATGTAATAAATAAGATAATTAGGCCAATTATTAATAGTTGAGCGACCGTGCTAAAATTACGGAATCGGAGAGTGCCTCACACCTTCTCCAGGATTAACAGAATTCCTTACCCGGTCTTCTATGTTCGCAAACTTTAAAACAGAGTCACATTTCCTCGATTTGGGATTTAAAATAAACCAGTGACTTGGGACACCATAAATTATTCCAATTGGCAACTCTCAATTAAATAAATAATCTCATTTCGAATAATATCACTTTAATTGGAAAAACTCCCTATCCCTCGGGGAAAAAGAGGTATGTCAACTTCCGGCAACAACTCCGGCCACAGTCCCTTGGCGTTCTCGAGCTTCTTCTTCATGATATTCAATATTGACTTATTGGAGGACTCCGCTTGCCATTGCCCGCGGGATGATATGGCATGGAGAGTATTCTTTTGATATGCCATTTCTCGAAGAACTCGGCGATCTTTTTCCCAGTGAATTAAGGCCCGTTGTCACAACTGATTTCTTTGGGGAGGCCGAAACCGCACATGATATTCCTCCATATGAAGGAGATCACCTCTTGCTCGCGTATTTGGGCGAATGCACCTACTTCCACCCACTTGGAAAATAGTCTGTTAAAACTAAAAGAAATCGTACATTACCTCGTCCTGCTGGGAGGGGTCTGATGATGTCCATCCCCCATTTGATGAAATGCAGAGGCGAGGTGACTGAGTGGAGGTGCTCTCCCGATTGGTGGATCATAGGGGAGTAAATTTGGCATTGTTCGCATTTTTTTACGAAGTCGGCGGCCTCTTTTTTCATTGTGGGCCAGTAGTAGCCTACTCATATGAGGCATCTGACTAGGGCTTGATTGCCGGTATGAGATCCACACTATCCTTCGTGGGCTTCTTCCAGAACATGTCACGTCTAGTTTGGGCCTAAGAAATTCGCTAGGGGGACGCTATACGTTCTTTTGTACAAGTCGTTGTTAATGACGATGTACCTGGCCGCCTGCATTCAAAGCTTTTTGGCTTATTTTTTTATCATCTAGAAGCACGCCGTCCTGCAAATATGTGACAATACTATTGCGGCAGGCCCAAGTTAGGTTTGTAGTTCGTACCTCGATTTGATCGATCGACGAGTGGAGGAGAGTGACCACATTCCCTTCTCCAATTATGTTTTTAGTCGCCGCTGCCAGTTTGGCAAGGCCATCTGCTTCGATATTATGTGCTCGAGAGATTTGGTTGAGCTGGCATTAAGGGTGTTAAACGATGCGTCGGGCCGGGCTGGGTTGGGATTTTTTGGGCCTGTACGGGTTATAGTCCAAGCCGGTTACGGGTTGGGTCTTACCGGGTTTAACGGGTTCGGGTTCATTCGAGTAAAAATTGAACCGTAAGAGTTACGGGTTGAGGGGCCGGGGCCGGGCCGGGTTTAGTGTATTTTTTAATTTTTTTTTGTATTTTGTATAACTATTGTAGTTATATTAATACAAAGTATTAACATAAAGAATACAAGGAAGATGGGAAAAAAATTCACTTATAAATTGCAAGTGCTACATTTATTTCAAAATTATAAAATTAAAGTTTGCATTTAAAAAGTAAATTAACAAAAAAATAGTAAAACTAAATTTTCATGCATAATAAATTAATAATACTTGATATTAATCTAACAAACTAAAACATTAAACATAAATACGTCTAATAATTTTAAAATAACACAAATTGTCTTAAAATCTTAAATACGAATTTTTGGATGACGCTCAAGACAATACTTTATATGCCTCCTTAAACTGTCTGTGTCAGACCCTGAACGAAGATTTAAGACTTGACCACAATTTTTGCACTTTACTTTCTGACCTTCTTCATTTTCTTCTACCACCTCAAAGTGTTGCCAAAGATATGAGCGCACTCTAGAAGTACGAGACATGATTTAACTTGAATTGAGATTTGAGAATTGAGATTGAGAAATGAGAATTGAGAGATGAGTAAAGAAATGAGGAAGAGGATGGGGTATTTATAGTTTTAGAGAATGTTAATTTTATAAATTGAAAAAAGGTTACATTTTAAAGAAAAAAGAGGCTATTAATGCAATTAAGGGTGTTAAGCAACGGATCCCTGCCAGGGGTGACCGTTGCCAACGGTTAGTGGGCCTACAGATTTAAAAAAAAAATTTAGCCGTTGTACCAGTCCGGTCCGGGCCGATTAAACCGGTACACGGTACTGTTTATGTGGATCGAGTTTGACCGGTCCAGTTAACCGTTAAAAAAAATAAACGGACCAACCCCCTACCCCTCCTACTTAGCCCCACTCGGCCCCTATGTACCGGGACAGTCCGATTTCGATTTTTTCCGGTCTGGGCCGGTCCGGTTACAGGTCAACCCGATCCGTTAGACACCCTTAGCTGGCATTCATCAAACTCAGGTAACAACTTGCAGATCTCGGCCTGGTATTTTTGTAATCTGTGTTCCTTGATTTGGAAAGTCCCTATGACTTGATTGACGATGAGCTAAGAGTCGCAGCGTAGGACGATTCGCTTCGCTCTGTACTTGAGTGCTAATTTTAGTCCTGCAATCATGACCTCATACTCGGCCTCATTGTTAGTCATATTTGGGCATCTTATGGATTGGTGAATTACTTCGCCTGTTGGGACCTCGAGCATGAGTACCAGTTTCGATCCCGACGCGTTAGAAGCGCCATCGGTATACAAAACCCATAGGTCGTGTATTTTGGGGGAAGTACGGGTGGCGTCCTTTTCGACTTCAGGCATTATTTTTGTGCTGAAGTCGGCGAGCACTTGCGACTTTATTGTCGTTCGCGGTTGATAGGTTATATCATGCTCGCTAATTTTATGGCCCATTTGGCCAATCTGCCTGACAGCTACGGTTTGTTCAGAATACTCCTTAGGGGAAATGTCATGACCATCGAGATGGGGTGACACTGGAAATAGGGTCTAAGCTTTCGTGAAGCTACAACCAAAGCCAGGGCTATCTTTTCGAGCTATGGGTACCTCGTTTCGACGTCAACCAGAGTTTTGCTAATATAATAGATGGGAGATTTCATACCTTTGTTTTCTCGAACCAGGACCGCATTCACGGCCACATCAGATACGACTAGGTAGATGAGGAGACGTTCCTCAAGTTCTACCTTAGCGCGTAGTGGGGATGAAGAAAGTTACAACTTTAACTCTTTCAAGGCTTCGATGCACTCAGAGCTCTATTGGAGTCCATTATCTTTCTTGAGTACGCCGAATTATTTATGGCATATGTCAGAGGACCGTGAGATGAACCTCGATAGGGCAGCTATGCGGCTGGTCAGCTTCTATACCTATTTCTTACTAGTTAGGTTCTCCGGTATTCCTTCTATAGCTTTGATTTGGTCAGGGTTGACCTCGATGCCTCGTTGTGATACTAAGAGCTGAGGAACTTTCCTGAGGTTACTCCGAAGGTGAACTTTTCAGGGTTCAATTTCATACCATATCGTCCGAGTATGTCGAAGGCCTCTTTCAAGTGGTCGATGTGATCCTCTTTCCTTTTTGACTTGACCAAAATATCGTCGATGTAGACTTCCATAGTTTTGCCAAGCTGATCTTTGAACCTTTTTTGTCACCAACCTCTGATACATCGCCCCCGTATTTTTCAGTCCGAAAGGCATCACTCTATAGCAGTACGTCCCTTGGTAAGTGATGGAAGTGGTCTTTTCTTGGTCTTCCTCCTCCATGAGGTTCTCATTGTATCATGAGTAGGCGTCTAAGAAACTTAATAGCTAGTACCTAGCCGTTGCGTCAATGAGCTGGTCAATATAGGGTAGTGGGAATGAGTCTTTCGAGAAGGCTTTGTTCAGATCCATGAAGTTTACGCACATATGCCATTTCCTATTCTCCTTTTTCACTATGACCACATTGACGACCCATTAAGGGTACTTTGATAGAGTCGTTTTCCAGTAGTTTTTCAACTTTCTCGCGGACCATGTCATTTATTGCGGAATTGAATTTCTGCCTAACTTGCCATACTAGGG